GCCCGGCGCTCTGGGCGCCGCCCCGCCCCGCCGCCCCGCCTCACGGCCGCCAGCACCGCCCGCCGGGGAGGGACGGGCCGCGGCGGGCACCGGCGGTGGAGCCCGGGGGAACGGAGCGAGAGTCGGGGGGCTGCTCGCCCCCGCCGCCATCTTCCTGAGGGGGGGCCACCGGCACCGGCCTCCCCTCGCCCCGCGCGGCTCCTCTACACAACCCCCGGCTTTGTGTGTCACCTCCCGCCCAGTCACCTTGAGACTTTCAGGAGGTTTCTTCCAAAATGGGGGCGAGAGATGAGCGACACCGGTGTAATTTAAGGAGCTGTCATCGTCCCCCCCCACCCCGGCCCCACGGTCAGCCATCTTGGGGGGCAGCGGGTTCCTCAGGCGCCCGTGGAGGCCGAAGGGCAGATCCATCCCTCCCACTTCCAAGGGGATGTTTTAGACAGTTAATAAATCAATCCATTAAGAGTTTTCCATCTACTGAAAATCCTAGCAGAGCTGTAGTGTGTTTGTGGCTGGAGCACCAAGAAGCAGTGAGAGCAGGGCAGCTCTGGGGAAGGGGACCAGGAGCAGCCCCAGCATGGGCAGACACAGTCCCACAGCACGGGAAGCAGAGCAGGGTGGTCATGGCAATGGGTCCCATCAACACACCAGCTCCAAGCTCAGCCATGGAAAGCCACACACCAGTTTAGGAACAGGTCTGAGATAGATTCACCTACAGCATCACCCAGGCAAAAGCTAAAGACCCCCAGGGCTGGAGGTTAAATGGCAGAGGGGATGCATGTGAGCCTCAGATGAGGCTTGTCAGGGAAATTAAGGCCTATTAGTGCACTCCCAGCCATGACATCCAGAGTCTTCATTACTGGTGATGCATCCAGAATAGCAGAAGTCATTTGAATATCAGATAACAAGCTGAGTTTGCAGAGCTTCCCAACAGAAAAATACGCTTTTTAATTCAAAAACTAATGAAAATTTGCTCTGGAGTTAGTGAATTATATGAATTCCTTCATCAAAGCTAGGCTGGGCAGGCAGTAAAGCGGAAGGAACAGAATGAACTTATTACAGACAATGATGACTCCAGGTCTGAGTTTTGAGAAGCAGGGACATCAGTGAGGAACGTATTACCATATGTTTAAGAAGAGATTTCAGTGGCACCAATCAAGGCATTAGCAGAAGCTACAGGGACAAATCCAAGTGCATTAAAGCTGTCACGACAGCTCCCGTCTACCAGCCCTGGCAGCACATTTGATCGGAGGAGCAAGAGGCATCTGTGAATCAAAATCTGCTTCCAGGTTCCCAGGCACAGGACCTACCTAGAAGTGCTGAGAGCTGCTTTCTATTCATTTAAAGCATGCGAGGTAAAATATAAATGGGGAATAGAAATGTAATCCCAACATTATGCTGGGGTCATCTAAACATCTTGTTTCACTACATCTTGAAAGCATAGTGATGGCAGAGGTACCAGTGTCTCTTTACCATACCCATGGGACCAGCCACATTCGAGTCCCTTCCTGCAGCCTTCTACTACAGAGGGGCTTGGGCTGAGCACTCTCAGCATCATCCCTTACCTTTGGTGTCATCTGTCTCTCATTTGCCTGCCACATATTGCTCCTCAGAGCAGGGACTGAACAAATTCATGTACTGCAGGACTCCTTGATTGCTGGTTGGGCCAAAACATCCTAAACCAAAAACATCTGCCTTGAAGTAAGACAAAATGTATTGACAGCTGGAAATCAGGTGGACAGTTAAAGGCCTAATGTCCTCCAGATGCCTGGAGGAAACAGTTTGTTTTGGCTGCCTGTTTAAGGGAAATAAGGATTTGCTGTGAAGCTGGAAACTGTTAGTCCATAAGTGTTCTTCTTCAGTGATCATCATGGGCAGAAGGATCTTTGGGAGAAACTTAGAGAAGTGAGGCTAAGCAAGGAGGAAGATTGCTGTGATGTTGTAAATAAGCTGAGAGTGCAACCGAGAACAAATAAACTGAAAGATTTACTACCTCCAGAACAGCACGTCTGTGGCTGCTCTAGTGGAAGTGGTTAATTGATTGTTTCCCCGGTGAAGCAGGCTCTGACTGATTGAACCATGGAAAGCTCTGATAGATTTTTCCTGCTGGCTCTTTCTCTTCCCACTAGTCACGTAGTTTGTATTTTTGCCTTGAGTCTTAGGAAGTTAGTTTTTATACACTGGAGGGAAAGGATATGCTGCCTTCTCCCTCTTGCACTCCCCTACGGTTCTGTGTATGGCTGTTTGGAAATAAACCCCAACTCCCCGGGTTGTGTATGTTGCTCTCTCTGCCCTGTCTGCCCACCGCTGGCTCAAAAAAGAGTCCACGTGCTGGGAGCTCAAATGCAGTGGAGAAACAAGCCCTGCGAGCGAGAACATGTCTCGTGTGTAACTCTGCTCAGAGTAAATACAGCATCCCTTTGGGTGAGGGGAGCTGAGCTTCTCCTGGTCTCATGCCACCCCTTCCTTCCCCAGGGCAAAGCTGATGCTGGAGCTGGGTGGTTCATGGTTGGTACGCAATGTTCTCCAGCTCCCAAATGCAAATGCAAACCTCATCATTCCTGCTCTCCAGGGCTCAAATTGATTCCCTTACCTGATTCAAGTTCCCTTTGGTCTTTCTGGGTAGGCTGGAGGGCAGGAGGTGGGACATGCTGAGCATGGATATATGTGTTTATTGACATAACCAAGGAATAAACCCTGCAGAACAGCCTGGCACTGCCACCTCCGGTTTTGTGGCATCACATCAATGTGGGATGATGCTGAGAGATACTGACTCCCATGTCCAGCTACACCCAGTACCACAGGTTCACTGGGCTTGTTTGTTGTACACTTGTATAACAATACACATTTTAACTTATGTATTATTTCTTGTTATTTGTGTTGAGGGAATATTGCAGACTGATGTCCTGAAGAACCAGGCACAGAACAAATACAGAGTGAAAGCCTTTCTCTTCCCCAGGTGATCACTGTCTAAGCAGTCAAGACAAAGAACAGAAGGCAGCATAATTTTTCTTATACAAGCTCAGGATGCAAAGCAGGGGAGTTTTACTTGTCTTGCCCAAGACCACATAAGGAAAGTCTCTGTTGGAGCTGGGAATTGAATGCAGATTTCCTGCCTTAATCTCGAGACTGCCTTCTGCTTTTCACTAATACAAGCACTCGTATATTCTAACCTTAGCAAAATTACACTGTAAGCCAGGCAGGCTTTTACAGCATCCTTTGTTGGTTGGGATCCAGGCAAGCCAGGAATGCTCTGGTTTGTTGATAGCCCAGCCACACACACGTCCTGCTGTGGCACAGCAAGTGCTGCCCGAAAGAGCCAGTCAGAACACTACGCTGTGTGCACCGTGTTGTGCAAAATGCACTGCACATGTTTGAACCCAGAACCCCATGTAGGAGCAGGTTTTTTTTCCAGTCTTGCTGTTCTTCCACTCTTCTCTCCTAATATCCTGTTGTCTTAGAATTGCGTCTCTCTCTCTCTCTCTCCCTCTTTAGCTACCAAAAACGAGCCCACAGAGGTGCTAAACCACCAGTGAGACGGAGCCGAGGGGATGAGTAATGAGATGCTGAGCCGTTAGCCTTGGGTCCCTGGTGAGCCCTGCTTCATCTCACATTAGTCTAGCCAGCCTTTTCCCCAGGGTTAAAAGAACTCGAGGCTTCACAGCGCATTCTACATTCTTTTTTTCACTGTTGGCTTCTCAATCTGGATGGGTTTAGCCCATTCAGTGGCTGCCAACCCCTGGGAGCAGGTTGGGCACTGCCATGGGGTATAACTCAGCAGACCGTCTTCTGCTTCACTGTGCCTTCCCAAATGTTGGGGGTTTGGTGGTTTTTTTGTTTTTTTTTTTCAGTTCAGTTCAGACAGCCAGGATGGGTAAATGGATGTTAAATCAGGCTGATTCTTTTCTGATGACTAAAATAGGGACCCAGACTGATGTGGTAATTTGCAGGCACATGCTGTCTGTTGCAATATTCAGCCACAAGCTAAAGGGAAGAGGAAACACCTGCGTGTAGAAAATGCTGTTAAGAGCAGGTACTTGCTTATTCCCTTCCCTGATTTATCATAAATGACCACCTCACCGAAGGCTGTGCTGTTCCCCAGCTCTCCAGGCTGGGAAATGCCAGGCACAGTGAGGAAAAGCTTGAGAGACCTGGGAAAAAGAGGATGGATGGAAGAGCAAAAGCAAGAAGGAGACCAAAAGTGCTGAACTGGAGGAGGCACAAGAGGAAAAGAAAAGAACTGGGGAATTTAACCAGTCAGAAGAAGTTTTGCAGCCACAGGCAAGTTCAGAAGAGCTGGAGAAATGGATTTGGGGCATATCCTATGGCCAGGAGCAAAAATGAGACACTAAGTAGGAGGGTGTGTGCATGAGCAGCTCATTGAGCTCCTCTAAACAGCTTCAGAAGAGAAAAGCCCACCTGGACACTCATTTAATGGCCATAAGTGTCTCTGTATTAAAGCAGCAGGTTGAGTGGCCACAAATGATGGAGGGCTGCAGCTCAGGCAGCGGGTGTCTGTCCCGCACGGGTATGAAAACAAAGAGGCTGCTTCAGAAAACCTGAACCACGGTGTCTTCATTCTACGGGGCATCCTGTGGAGGAGACATTTGGCAGAAAATATCCTGAGGGTTTGGGAGAGGGGATTTCGCAGGCAGTGGCTGAATGAAAGCGTGGAATCGCGCAGACAAACGGCTTCCTTCAGTCCTTTCATTCATACCCACTCCTGGCGTTGGCATTGTCACAAGCGGGGGTGATGCTGGGAGTGACAGGTGGAATTTAGTGCATTTGAATTTTAATCAGCAATTATTGTAAAACACAATAATGCTTCGACTGGTGGGTAATTTAGCTCCGATTCCAAAAATATAGACTCATCCACTCTAGCTGTAAATTTCCAACGGTTTCCTCCAAGCAAACTAGCATATCGAAATGTATGAATGATAACCAGTAAAGTAATGATGGCTGGAGAATTAAGATG